AGTCAGCGGCGAAACTGCGGCTGAAGCGGCCGCTGGGGTGGCGGCGGCACTACCATTACAAGACATGATGATGGCGGCGGCGTCAACTCCCACCGTGGCCGGTTACCGAGCAGCATAAGCGGCGAGGAACAAGGCTCCGCCTTCTCCTTCCGAGACACAATCCGGAAGCGGAAGAGATTGTGGCGGAAACGAATAACAACGAAATGTCAGGAAAGAGGGGCGTTCTCAGGCCCGTTTAGACCTTTTCCGCCTGGCGCACTACGGAAGCGTACGTCAGAGGAAACACATCGGGGTGGAGTGTTTTGCTTTCCTTTCGCCAGACGTGTTGCTTGAAATGACAGTAATTGCTTGTTTTCAGCGAATGCCTTTTAAGGCCGGAGGAGGTCGAATGAAAAGCTATAGTGAGTTCAAGGGCGTTGCTGTACGTTTATATCAGGGTTACTGCTCTTGGTTTAACTTGGGAGTTTTATTCCCCTTTAGTGTCGAATATTAACACTGCTTGTTAAAAGGATAAATAACGAATATATTTGGAACTCGGTGGCGCTCTTATTCCCAGTTCTCGCTTTAAATGCATTTTATATGATACATGCAAAATTAACTTCCTAATTCAGCAATTCTGCAAACATGCGTCAACGTACGGAAACATATTACAGTACCGGATAAAATGGACCAGCACGTTTCTGCATTTAGGAGTGTAGATTCATGTGCGTTTAATGTAAATAGTTCTAGATAGTTTAACTAGACAGTGACTTATATTGCTCGATTAATGATATGCAGTGGCAACATTTCCTATTCTAGTTCAAATAATGCAGTTGTATATCAAATACCGTGAAATTTGCTATTGTTCTGTAGGTTTCTAAGAGAAGAGTTCAGGCATCAGTTTATCTAATCAGACACAGAGTGTGACTACATTGTAAAATACCATACTACCTATTTTATAAGTAGAATTGCTCTACTTATAAAATGGGTGGGTTCAAAGTACAGTGGTGCCTCGCTTAGCGATGTTAATCCGTGCAGCAAAAATCGCTGCTATGCGATTTCATTGCTAAACAATTTTAAAAAGCCCATAGAAATGCATTAAAATGTGTTTAATGTGTTCCTATGGGCTTAAAAACTAACCTTATGTGAAAATCCTCCATCGGGGTGGCCATTTTCAGTGCCTCTAAAGCGAGGCAAAACAGCGGGCAGCCATTTTGGAACCGTTGATCAGCTGGCTGAAAATGGGGCCTTTGCGATGATCGCTTCCCTGCGATCATCGCAAAGCAAAATTTCCTCATAGGGGCCATCGCAAAGCGATTTCATCGCTATGCAGGGCGATCGCTATGCGAGGCACCACTGTAGTTTTTACTGATCACATGACACAAAGGCTGAATTGAATTCGATCAGGCATTTTTGCTCCCAGTGCCCTTTTTGTCTACCACTAGATGGCTTCTACTTTTTCAAGCCAGAGCAGGTCAAACAGACTTTTTTCCCAGTCTAGTAGCTGTAATATAATTAACTTTATTGCACTATAAAACCATAAGAATGCAACTAGAACAGCTACAGGATAATACCCTGGTAAAGTAAGTTAATATGTACAGAGAATTCAAAGTTTAAAATTTGAACCTTCTAATTAACCCATCTTCTTAGCAGGACATTTAATCAAATATGAGCAAAATTTAGCTATTTGTTTAGTAATAAAAGAGTTTTCATCATCAAAAAGGGCAAAAAAGAGGAACCTGGGAACTACGGGTCAGTCAGCCTGACATCAATCCCAGGCAAAATTCTGGAACAGATCATAAAGTGGTCATTGTGCTAGTTAGGCATCCTTCAGTCTCGAAAGACTATGGTAACATGCTCTGTATGGAGGACTTGGAACAGTGTCTAGTGTGGCTAAGGAGGCTAATTTGAGAGTGACAATCTCTTCCACACTGAAGACAAATCCAATTGGTCCCCTGTCCAGCTCCCTGGTTTTGCTGCTTTCGTGACTTCCTCTTTGCCTCGGCCTGCTGGACAAGGGTCTCTTAAATTGGGAGAGGCCGTGATGCAACACCTGCCTCCAGGCTGAACGCTCAGATGTCAGGGTTTCCCATCTGTTGAGGTCTATTCCCTAAGGCCTTCAGATCCCGGTTGCAGATATCCTTGTATCGCAGCTGTGGTCTCCCTCTGGGGCAATTTCCCTGCACTAATTCTCCATACAAGAGATCTTTTGGAATCCGACCACCAGCCATTCTCACGACGTGCCCAAGCCAACGTAGA